GCAATAATATCATGAAAGAATTATTGTGTTGGCGTCTTCTTACTGTCACAGGTACAAAACAAATAAATCATAGAATGGGCAGGATAATAAAATTAAATGAAATTAAGTGCTGAAGTGCCACCATTTAAAAATAAAAGACTTCCTATAAAAAGAGGCTGTGAGTTTAAACCGAGTTCATATATCAACTGGGATATAACATCGGGTACTAAAAAGAGTTCCGGACTAGGCCAACTTTAAATTGGCTAAAATCCCTGTAACTGCCACCATCTCAAAATTACAGCGCAGAGATGAGGAAGCAGAAAGACAGACTTTATTATAATACTTGGCAGTTTATTCCAGGGATGCAATGCAGTGACAAGGCAAGTTCATTATCTACTCCAGTGAAACAGCTACGGGTAAGGTGACAGTAATTTTGGAGACCTGGCTATTCTATTTTAATTTAAATTTTACAGTGTTTATTTTCAAAAATTCCCTATCCAATTTATTTGTTATTAACAATTTCAGAATATTAGTGTGCCACTTTTGTGTTTACTGTCTCTGTCTCCTTTCTAAAGAAATATCTTTGAACTTGTCTTAATACATTATTTTCTTTTTGTAGCCCATAAACAATTAATATTAACATCATTTTGGAAATCAGGATTGGTTTTCATTTTAAAGTGTAATCTTAAAATATATCACTTTTATTAAACATCTCAAATCTCCATACTTTGCCCCTTAAATTTCTATTTTATGTTGGATGTTTTATGTTAAAAGTTAACAAATATAATACTTTTCCTATGTGAGTAGTAATGATACAGTTGTGCTATTCAATTTTAATAATCTAATTTTTAATTAGCCACATAAAGAAGTACCTAAATGTATTGACACTAACTCAATTTTGTAATAGAAAAATGAAGAACTATCTCAATATTTTCAGCGATTCACAATTAATCTTTCAGTATAACTCACCATGTAAGAGTGTTGGTCGCTTTAATTGAAATGACTAGTACCTTTTCTATGAATTACTTATTCAAAACATTCAGTCACCTATGCAAATATAATAAAAACTAATCAATATTTAATTTCACTAAACTGAGGTTTATTTTATTTTTTTCTTGGAGAGCATATTAGAAAATCTTATAAACTTTCCTGTCTCCAGCCACGATACCTATGCTTCCATAAACATTATTATTTTCCTATACCTACACCCTGTGTACATTTGTTAATAGATGACAGAATATCTCTCATTTGAATAGCTTGTTAAACATTGATTTAAGAAGTTACAAAGTGCGAAGATACCCGAGCCTTTGTATTTACTTTTTCTTTATAACATTAAACAAAGATCTGTTGCATTTTCATATTTCACAGACATAGGTAAATTATCTTCTTCATTTAAATAAATTAAAAAGTTTAGCCAGAATAGCTCAAAATTTACTCAACCGTATTTTTCTTTCTTTTTTTCCCCAAAATGTTTCTGTGCCATGAATGAACAGACCAAGTCCTCAGATCACTTGTCTTCAATAAAACATTATTGTCTTTTGACATCCTCTTGCACTGGGGGAAATAAAAAGTCACATGTGGAGAAGTTCTAAATGCTAGACAGAAGTGATCCTTGGAGGGCAATTTTTATCCTCCACGGAAGTACTGCAGACTTCTTCCATTAGTGTAGTTGCAAGGAGCAAAAGGTTAGAGAAGTGGGACTGCCAAGGGTACCTGAACACATAAGTCAAACTTCCTCCACGCAGTGAGAGAGTGCCAGGGTGCACCCACAGGTGCATTAAAGCATCTGAGACGAAAAACAACAATGGTAATATTTTACCTTGGAAAACACTGTACAGAGGGTGACACTTTGTTTGTGGTTGTAAGGAAGAAAGGAAGGCATTTTCCAGCTTCCCCCTCAACACCTACCATTTGGCAAAGGATGTGGGAGGTTGGACAGAACGGAGGGAGCTTTGCCTCAGTTGAAACAGCTGGGAAACAGATGGAAGCTGCAGTGAAATTTGCCAAAAGCCTCATTTAAGCCTCCTAACCATTTTCCACCAAAAATACCTTGTGAAGTGATAAAAATAGAGGCTTTTTGGTCAGCAAGTGGTGAACTTTGGACATTGTAAGGAAAAAAAAGTTAAGTACCCAAGATTATTTAAAATACAAGTTAAAAATGTAATCCCGTGGGGCATGTTTTAATAAGACAGAGTAGTAGGGTGATACAAACCACAGCAGAATCATCTATATCGTGATAAAGGTGCCCACCGCACTAACTGACACAGGTACCACTTCAACTGCAGTGACATTCCCCTCAGGTTATGATGTCAGGGAACACACTTGTACTGTATCAATTGCAACTTAAGGATTCCTTTTGTGATTATTGTAAATGCAAGCGTGCATAGTTCACTTCAGTTTAGTCACTGGATTTTACTTCAAGAGCAATTTTGGTGTGCAATTCAGGCATTCAGTAAATTGTTTTTGGATTTAAGTATTGAGTTATAGCCAGGATCTTGTTTAAATCCAGTTGTTGGATATGTAAACCTCCGGTTGTGCATTTCTAGTTGTAATGGATGTGTGTATAGAGCCATCACACTGACTTTAGCCCATGTTTTGTGTGTTTGTTTGTGTGCATACGTGATATTTATGAAGTACTTTTGAATATTGCAAAAGTTGGAGATCAGTTTCAAAGAAACAAAAATAAATACAAACTAATGTGAATTTGTTCATTCATGCTTACATAAGGGAATGTGCTAACCATGAATCATTCAAATTGAATTGCTCATGAGAAAAAATGTGCTGGCTTTGCCATCAGTTTCCAGAGTTGTTTGACTGAAGGGAAAAGAGCACTGTCTCCACATAAAGAATAACCACAAGGGGAAAAATGAGAATCAAGACCTGTCATGTAAAAGTACAAGATCCCAATGATGAATGTAACTGTACTGTATACCTAAAATGTACCAATAAACTCATGAGGAAAAAAACAAAGAATAACCAGCCACAGATTTCAGGCAGAGTATGGCTCCAAATTGGCTACAATTCTTTTGATTCACATGGAAACATGTATGCTTGCAAGAACGACTTGTTATCAGATTGTTTTGTGCAGTGACTGTGTTTGCAGTAGGCCACAGTAGCCCATGGAGTATTTTTTTTTTCAAATTAAGAAATCATTTGCAAGTTTTTATCAAACAAAACCAGAATAGCTAAAGTCTCTTGCCATGTGGATCTTAGCAAATCTGCGGCTGTCAGACTGTGTGCAGTGAACTGCAGTTTGTACTGAGAGCCAGTAGGTGGGCATTGTGTGAACATGGCCTGTTTGAGAATTCAAACTTAATTTATTACCTAGTGCACCTGGTCCTGGTGGCTTCCTATAAGGTGTAATCAACTGCTGTGTGACATAGCAGCAAACAAACACTCCTTACATTGAATAAAGGTCCCTCTGCCCCATCAAAGTGGAGGGCCAGTCAATATGGAGGCAAGTGACAGCCCAGAAATGTGGTAAGCTCATGAGGAGGAATTTTAGACAGTGCCAGGCACCAGTCAGTGATCCATCAAAGGAGTGTGCCAAGATATCCATGCAAACCTCTTGCTGCTGCTGATAGACTAGGAAACTCGACATCTGGTCAGCATAGATTCTGGTAAGAGTCAAAACAAAAGTGTTTACGTTAAAGTGCCTTGTCTAATGGATTTCCATTATGCAGAGCCTTCTTTAGTTGGACTTCCTTCAGGCACACAGAAAGGAAAAGAACACTGATAAAACAAATAAAAATAGTTTTTGGTAGCTCTTGGTGTAATTATCAGTGGATGCAAAAAAAAAAATAAATGTAGTGTAAAACATCATTTATAAGCCATGCCATCCTATTATCCTTGTCAATTAAAATGTTAATTTTTGTGACCTTGGGCAATTCCTAATTTTTTTGCATTACTTCTTTAAATTCACAGAGGAATTATTATATTTTTTTCTGAGAAAGGTGTCAGAGCTTCTGTGTACATGCTTAAAATTAATTAGAAATGAGAAGCAGTTCTTATGAGAGTACTAGGTTGCATTTTATCTTGATTATGTTGATATTTCACAAAGGATAAATATAAATGATTCACAAGACCTTGCTATGATTACTTTCTACTTGGTACATGCGGATTCTTTTTCATTATAAACAAATACTCTGTTCTTTGGTGTATTAAGAATACCGTCTAACCTACATCTCAGGAATATTATAAGAATAAATGCTGCATGCCAAGGTTGTCATGGTCTTTCAAGAGCAAAGATAGAATCATGTACCCCAAGCTATTTTTATTTTTACACGGCATTGTAAGATTTGATGTTGCGAATCATTAGTGTTAGGTATTGTATAGCTTAGTTTTACACACATATATAATGAAAAACATACTTTTAAACGCTGTTCATATTTTAAGTCATATGAACACAATTTTATTTATAGATTCCACATTGAGCAAAGCACGAGATACAATAAAGAACATAGCTCATGTCATCATAAAGATCAAACATAGAAATTCTGAAAAATCAGTAAGTACATAAATACTTTCATGTACACTCAGTTTGAGCTTGAACTTTTATAGCTCAGTTGCTAAACATTTGCTTGCTAAACTATTCATGCACTGAACTGCTACCTTTCTGAAAAAATCTGTATTCAGTAATACTTAGGGCACAAGTATATATGTTGGCAAAAGTTTTATATCCAAAAGTGTTATCTCTTGAAGCTTTACTTTATCATGTTATTATAATACCATATTATGAGCCATCACACTTTTTGATCATAATTTATAAGGACAGAGTAGAACAGCTGAACATTTCCTCAGTTAGGATGTCAGTTATTGAAAGGCAGTTACAAAAATTAAGAAATATATCTCACCCTATTGAGGTGAAATTAATCTTCATATTTTTGTCCTCTACTTGTCCTCTGTCTAGCCCCAAACCTGAAAAAGTAGTTACTTAATATCTGAATAATATTATTCAGTTTTGAATAAACATATGAACACTAATCATGTTTTTTATTTGTTTTTTTTTTATATTTTTGCAGACTCCCAGGAAGGAAATTACAAGTCAGAAGTCAACAGCAAACCCAGGAAGGAAAGGACAGCTTTTACCAAAGAACAAATCAGAGAACTTGAAGCAGAATTTGCTCACCATAATTATTTGACCAGACTGAGGCGATATGAGATAGCAGTGAATCTAGATCTCACTGAGAGACAGGTAAAACTGGACATTGTCATTATAAGATCTTTCTAGTTGCTGTGAGTCAACAATACTCTTGAAACATTGTGAAACATCTAGATCTGTGATTCTTAAACCCTAGCTGGAAGACTTGGGAATTATTTCATGATAAAGTTTTTGTTCAGCAAAATGACAAAATTGAGGATAATATAATGATGTTTGAAGGAAAACTACGTTTATTGGGTTTAGGAAAGGATCTTTGTTCTGTGATGATAACCTTCCTGAAGATTTTTTTGTTGTTGTTGTTTAAAAGTATTGCTTTATTTAATGATATCATTTAGTGTGGAATTTCATATGCTTATATTTAAAGATGTTCTTATTTGACAAAATAAAGGGTCAGCAACCCCAGGTTAGCTTCCTGCGCTGCTCAGGATAGTTATGTTATGGTGCAGCAATACATTAACCCTCAAACCCCAATGGAATAACAAAAGAAAAAAATGTTCATTATTTGCTTACTCTCCATAAAAGCTCTACGAGTTCAGCTTTCCAAATAATCACTCACAGGCGCACCCTGCCTTTCTGTCATCCCGACATGTGGTGTCCCTGGCAACCACAGGAGGGAGGAAAGAATTGGAAGTTTGTGCACTGACCTGCAAATGTTTTCACCTGGAAATGACCCATGTCACTTCCATTTACACTCTAATGTTCGGAAATAGCCAACTGGTGTGACTTCAGGGAGAGAAGGCTGGAAAACGATGGGAGGTGAGGGCTCACAGAGCATTATAAATATTTCTGTCACACTACTCAAAATATTTTTGAAATTGTATTGGTCTCAGGAATTTAAAATTCTGGTACACACACAATGACCACTTTGAAAGCACTAGTGCTCTATAGAATACAATTCAGAAGGGCTAAATAATATTTTTAAAATTAATTACATCTTGGTCTCTTTTTTGGGCGACTTATGATTTGCTCCATAATTACTCACAAGGTCTTTTTGTAGACTCTGATTTTCCCTAGGAGAATGAAGCCTACTGATAGCTAACAGTTGCTGATCTTTAGAAAAACATTCCTGAGAGGCAAATGCAAACATCTTTATGGACAGTGCAATTATGATTGGCACTCTTAGGACTGGAGTTTCATTTTCTCTTTGAGTGTACTTACTTCCTCCCAGGGTCCATTGGAATCAAGGAAATATCAATGGTATGTAGGCAAACACAATGTATCTTTTAAGGGAAACTTGTTTTATCTAGTTTCTTACATCATCCTTCTGTTACTTTTTATTTTTTATTTATTTTTTGGTACCAGGGATCGAACTCGAGACTTGTGCTTGTGAAGCAGGTGTTGGAACCACTGAGCTAAATTCCCGGCCCATTCTGTTACTTTTTAGAATTCAACTTTGGAAGTTATTTCCGGGTAATGGGAATACACAGAGTAACACGTTTTTGTGGTTTTCTTTATTGGCAGTTTATATTTTATTAAATCCAATGACTAGCACCTAAGTTATAGAGCACAATATGTTCTTCCCTTGAACTTCACACAGGACGTTCTCTCTGTGAGAATACAGAAAGCAAGATAGACAGTTTGCATCACCGGAATTCTACCTATCTATTTATTTACTTATTTTTAAATGAGAAGAGCAAAATAAGGAGGGCTGGTAATTATACCTCATTATAGTGATATAGATATCTTAAACTGAAAAAAATTGTACACACGTTTTAAATAATGCATGAAAGAAATAAGAAGCTAAGTTGAATTCCATTCTACAGAAATGACAGACACATCCTTGTGCTCTCAGCCAAGAAGCAAAGTTGAGATTCTGTGCTTACTAATCTAGGACTAGTCCATGGTTATCCCTCATGATTTGTCAGAGGTCTCCTTGAGTGTAAGAATAAGTTATTTTTAGAAGCTGTTCTTCAAATCTGATTACAGACTTTTGAAACTATTTTGGATATTTCTTTCTTCCTAATGGACATGATATCCTATTAAACAAATTCTACTCAAAAACTTATATACATATACACAAGTACAGAACTAATTTAATCACATTTTCAAGGTTTTGTTTCAATTTTGTATATGGCTGAAGCAAACAACACAATATTTGTGACTCTGAAACACAGCCAGCGTTCAATTTGCTCCCAATTTTGCAGATCAGACTTCTGGACTGGACTTCCCTGTGTCAGCTAGTGGGTTAAATAAGTGCTAACTGGGCTTCAGCCAGGAGATCTGGTCTCTACTGCATGGGGTCTTGTCTTCTCCTGGGCTAGCTGGGATGCTTCACTGGGTTCAAGACTCGAGTAAGTGAGGATGTTTTAAGCTCCTTCTTGCATCATGCTTGTTAATGCTGATTTTTCCAAAGGAAGTCATCAAATCGAGCTTGGTGTCAATAAGTCACTAGAAGACATTCCTGAAAATACCTAGCAACAGAATCATGAGGAAATAAGCACCAAAATAACATTAAAGATAATCAGTTTTTCAAACAACCGAAAGTTCAATATTTTAGTGAAGATTATCCTTTTTTCCATAAATGTCTATTTCAGTTTTGCAAACTAATATGGAAAGATGTATATATTGGAATCTAAACTCCTCATCAAGAGCAAATCTTAAGAGGACAATTATGTGCTAGTCAGAAAGCACTGATTTATTACATTTAAAACCTGATTGAATATCCAAGAATTGTCTCTTGGAATTATACATTTTTAAAGAAGTGATAAACTTCTTGATGAACAAAATAGAAAATAAATGTACCTGCTCTTTCTTCTACTGAGATTTATATGTCATAATACATATGAAGGCATTTTTAGTATGAACTATAAAACATAACTCTCACCTAGAGGGGAAATAACATTCCTGTGCAAGGCATGTTGAATTATTTCATTGATAAAACAAATATTTGTTGAGCTAGGTGCTAGAAATACAATCTTGTGAAAATAAGCTAAAGAAGTAAATCCTACAACTCACAGAAGAGGCAAAAATCGAACAAGTATTAACAATTTTGGTGAGTGCTAAATGTCGCACGAAAGGGCCACAGAGGGCAATGTTCCTGGTTGTCAAATATTAGTATTACTCCTACACTTCTGTGCTCAGACAGTAACTTAAGAATCTTGAGGCTTTGTTATTATTCCCTGGGCCAAGTTTTACTAAGCTGAAATCATCAGGAGAAAATAAAAACATTGTATGCTTCAATTATCAATTTTGCTATTCTTGAAGACAGAAGGTATGTTTCCCAAGAAGGCTGGTGTACTTGTCCCAGCTAAATGTTTTGCATCTTAGAGATTGGCCATTTACCATTTTGGACATAGTGTTATAAAATGAATACCTTTAAATCCATTTTCTTTCAATTGAGATGCAGTGCCTTTTACTAGTTTGGGCTGATATCGGAAGACTTGGTAAGCCAGTAAAGAAAGGAAGTTTCTTTTTCTTTTTTTTTTTCATTGAGTTTATTGGTACATTTTAAGGATACAGTGCAGTTACGTTCATCATTGGGATCCTGTACCTTTACATGACAGATCTTGGTTCTCATTTTTTCCCCTTGTCCCTGCCGTCCCTTCACCCCCTCTTCCCCTCCCAATTTATAAACATTTTATTTCCATTTTTTCATTTTCTCCTATTCTTTTCCTTTCCCTTATTCCCTTTCCCCTACCCTTCCCATTTTTCCTATGCCTTTTGCCCTTTTCTTCTTATTTCACATTGTTAGTTATCTCATTAGGATCTTATGTACTGTTATAGGTTATTCATACCAGAGAAGCTATTCTGTATTTACACATGTGTGACTTACGGAAGTTTATTTTTCACAGTCCTAGGGCTGGGAAGTCCCAGGTGAAGGCACTGATAGAAGAGGAGTCTGATGAGGATCTGCTTCCTCACAGCCAGCCGCAAAGCTGCAGAGGCCAGCAAGCTCTCTGAAGTCCCTTTTAGGAGGGCGCTAAGTCCAGCAATAAGGGCTCTGCCTTCCAACGGCCCCACTCTACTGCCATCACCCTAGGGTTGGGGTGTCAGCTTTGGAATCTGGCTATAAAATAGGGATTCAGACCTTAGCACAGCTATACCATTACTTTGGTTTTGCTCATGATTAGGTTTCACTTTAGAAATAACTGAGATGTATCGAACCCTCAAGAATCACTCAGTTCTTCATTTTCTACTTCCTACCTGAAGAACAGTTGTAAAATCTCACCACAAAATGGCAGATCCACATTTTAATCTTCCATAATTCAATGTTGGGGGAGTCTATAATTCTCTTTAGACTTCACCTATCAAAAAAAAAAAAAAACAGGAAGAAAAAGACCAAAAAAGGATACAATAAGATTATTCCTTGTTAACAAATAGCAATTAAAGAAAATAATTTTAAGTTAAATAAAAATGATGAACCTAGAACGACACTGAAATTTTAATTACACAATGTTGTTTGCAGAAGAGTTATGGGTCCAGTAATGTTCCAGCTGTTGACTTGCAACATTCACTTTACAACCTGTTTTGCTGTACTCTTCAAGATGAGAAGCTACTAATCCGTAGCTGGCAGGGTTGGTTAACAGAATCCTGCCACCACAAGATATTTTTTCAATTGTACACACTGATTCTGGCCTTTCTTCCCCACACAGTTAAGTTTGGAGAAGGATATTGCCAGATTTTTAGTAATATTTCATGGTGGGAAGAAGAGAGAAAGCAGCTGCTTGAGTGGATCAAAGAAGTCGTAAAATGGACATGTTAGAGCTAAGGCTGCCAGATACAGATAGAATAGGAGATCCTTACACGTTTTAAAACCCTTTCCACAGAGAAAATCAAAGGTGCTACGTGGCAGGTTTGTCAGTTCTCTAAAATTACCGAGATTAAACAGAATGAATTCATGATACCTCTGCCAAGATAAGTGGAAAACCCCACCTAGTTGGATCAAACTTGAGCAGAGGAAATGAGAAACGTTATGCTTTGTTTGTTACTCATAAATCATTAAATGGCTCAGTGCCAAGTATTCGCAAAATAGCCATCCAGTTTTTGCATGATTATGAAGGACAGTTATTTTTCTGCCAATATAGAGTGATTTG